AAAAAAAAAAAAAAAAAAAGGACATCATGAGGGGGAGGAAAAATTACATAATTAGATACATGGCACAGCACATCTGAATACGCACAACATGAAAGAATGCGCCCCCGCATGTGTTACGTAAGTGTTACAGCACACTCGCTCACGAAAAGACATATCCCCATTTGTGCGCCCCTATTTTTTGCTCCCATTTCAGGTGACCTCGCGGAAGAGACCGATGCGCCGTAACTTCGCCGAGAAGAAATATGCCCCACACCAGTGCTTCCTAAACCTACCAGTAACATCGTCCCACTACCACCACCACCACAAGCGAAAAATAAAAACAAAAAGATGGCGAATGGGGAGAGGAACCCCTCAACACCTGCTCGTGCAACACCACATTCGAAGATTCCTCTTAACTTGCATTTTTCTCTTGCTCATATAGCAAATCAAGGATGTACTTATATTTGTCCACTTTGTTGTCCCTCGTGGCGGTGACAGTCACATAGGAGTTTCTGTTTCCGGGGATGCAGCCACTGACTAAAATTTCGTTTCGCTCCAAATTTAATCCTAACAGTTTCAAATTGATCATCGTGTTGTATTTGTTCCCATGCTTCCCAGGCATTTTCTTCCCCTTTAGAACTCGTCCGATATGTGTGGATGCCCCTATGGAGCCAGGCTTACGGTGATGGGAACTTCCGTGTGACATGGGGCCGCTGCAGGTGGAACGTGGGGCAACAGAGTGAGAATGTACAAAGCGAAACATATAGGGACACGCTCAAATGGGAGCGGCACAAACTCTGCTTGCCATAAAAATATCTACTCATTTGTCACAGCGAGAAATGGCGATACACAAATTTGTCGTGTTATGTCTATCGAAGGTGAATATATCCCTCGCGTTTATTTATGCATGTTTGCCCGCCCTTTTGTGTGTTCTTTTTTTTCCTTTTTTCTTCTTCTTTTTTCCCTTTTTTCTGTATTGTTCAATGGGTCGTTGGTTTTACGAAAGAAAAACTATTTGTTTTTTTAACCCCTTAATTGTTCGTGCGTAGTGTCTCTCGCATAAAATAGGGAGCGACCATTCTGAGTACAGCTCTGAATGGCATTGTCCATTTTCCGCCGTCGGTGCGGACGGCCACCTCGATGGCACCCGCATGTCGTTTCTTCAACTCTGGGCAGTGCACCACAACACGGGTGCCGTGTACCGTGTACAAACGCAAATGTGTTCACGAATGGCCCCCATGTAATGTCTATTCCATGGTTCTCACTCCAAAGATGGGTAAACAAGTGAACACAGCTTTGGCGCACGGGTGAACAGAGCAACCACACGGTGTCATGCATAATTTGATCATGGCAGCATTAAAATTACACATTTGGCACTATCTCTCTTATTTTTCTCTCTCTTATTTTTTTTTTTCCTTCTTTTTAATTACCGGCGAAATCCCCATCTCTTAATGACCCCGCAGAAACCCTTCCCCTTGGACAGTCCACGGACATTCACATATTTATAATTGTACAAATAGGACACATCTATAATTTGCCCCAGGACAAAATTCTGTGGCGGAGTCAAAGTTAAGCTGCATGTATTTTTATAATTACATCCAACCTTGGCGATCTGCCCAATTTCTGGTTTAAGTATCCACCTGCTTTCTTCCAAGGGCTTTCCATAGGCTATCCCAACTTTGCCAAAGTCGAGAAAGCGGTAGATCACGTTTGGCATTATTTCGATTAGCGTGGCTGGGATTAACTTCCCGTTGGGCGAGAATATAGACCTCATTTCGATTTTCTTCCCTCGTATTTGTATCTGCGCAGGGGAATGGGCGGTATGACATCATGGCGGCAAGGGGACAGGCATAAATGAATGCCCGTGTGCAGCCAGGGTAGGGTACAACTTATGCACGTCCGCACAAGGGGGTAATTCCGTTGCCAGCCAAACTGCGCTTTTTTCGTTATTTTTATTTTATCTTATTCTTTTATTTTTTATTTTATTATTCTATTTTTCTATTTTATTTTATTCTTTGGCCCGCTTACTCGGTCTAATTCGTCCTTGTACGGAATGTCCTTGAGGTACTCCTGCGGGTCGTTGGGGTCCCTGGCGTTGATAAATTTCTTCACCATGTTGAGTTGGGAATTACGCCTGTTTCGCACCTGAGGGGGGGGCATTTTCGTAAGTATAAACTTAAGTAGGAGTAGTGGCGGTGTGCTGGTTGGCAAGGGGATATGTTCACTGGGGAAAACCGCTCGAAGGGGGGCTGTCATTCTATGCACTGCCCTTGTGATGGTGAACTATTTTAACGAAGCAAAGGGAGTTACATCTTTCGACTTGTGCACCTCGCTAGGCAAGCCTAGGCCTTTTCCACTTTTATCGGAGGAGACTACACATCAGTGGTGGTGGGAAAGGGCGGAGATGAGATGAAGCAGCCAAATGTGTGAATACACCTCTGCCCATGTGCAGAAGTACAAATGTGTGTATCAATTTCGTTTGGAAGAAGAAAAAGGAAACATATGACGTCATTTTTTTCCCTTTACTTTTTTCCGAGTAGTAGAAATTTTTTACAAATTTGTAGTTATATATGCATTGGAAGAACACTGAAAGGATAAGAACTTCATAAAAGATGAATAAATGCATTATATATTTTCATTTCTGCGTATTTTTTCTCTTCTTTATTTTTCCTTTTCCTTGAGATGATCCTGCTTTTGCATTTTGTGCGAACAAGTAGCTAATTATTGGGATTATTTCCTCGCCATGGTTATTTCCTGCCTTGGGTGGAAAAAAAAAGAAAACAAAAAAAAAAATAAAAAAGTCACGCATCCCGACTTGGTCGTATGCTTAACCTGTAGCTTTCTTCCCATCTGCTGGTCATACTCGGGCCGGTAAAGGAGCGCTGTCGGCATGGCGGCCAGCGAGCCAGTTGCAGTGCGTGCTATTTCCATAAAATAGCACGTATGGCTGTAGGTTCCACTCGGTCGGCTCATCACCAAAATATGAGAAGTTGTTCGCCCATTAACCCAACCTTGCAGCTACGAATGAGTCATTTGGGCACAACTGGGGAGAGAGAGAGAAAAAAAAAGCAACCCCACCCGATTTTCACAAAAATGGAATTTAACAAATTGTATAAAAGGAAAATTCCCATTTCGGTGTTCCTCCGTAAAATGGGCACCAAGGCTGTGACTAGCCAAACCGCTAAAGGATTGTCCGGTTTTTCCTACTAAGCTGAGGCAGTTACGTTATGTCCATCTTTCTGCAGAAGAGGGGTAAAAGTGCGCTGCGGGCAGCATTAAGATGGTTGCGTGTTTCAGTGGGATGCACCGCACACCTGCGACGTTATGCTACGCTTGCTCCCCCCGAAAAATTTGATGAGTACGCACTGCCATGGTGGGCGAAGTTCACGGGACGATCCACCCCAATAAACGAGCATCTTCACCCTAACTGTTGCTCACAAAGCGAATCTGCGATGGTTCCGCCGAAGACAGCTGTGGAAAAGGGGCAAGGGAAACCACTTGGCCACTTCAGTGGATACCCTCCTCCCCCACGGTGTATAAAATATTCCAGCACCTTCTTTCTGGTCCCTCATTCATCCTACGCTGCACCGCCAAAAGGACCAATTTTACTTTTCTTTTAATGAGATAACTTCTCACTAGTTAAAAAGTTGAGCTGGAAATCATAAACAAAGTTGTAAAAAGCTAAACGTAAAGGATGGCTAAAAATCGTGTGAAAAAAAAAATAGCTAGTTAGCTACCTGGCTAGCTAGCCAAAATGGAAAAAAAAAATAACTAATTAATTTTAAAATGTATTAAAATTTTAACTTTTAATTCGCGTTATAATTTAAAAAAAATGCATATGCACACTTGTTCGAGGAGGACATGCAGCAGGCGCATTGTCGTGGTTGCATAGTATGTGCCGATAGAAGAGGGTGTTCTTATAGCACAATGCGCAAGCCTCTCTTTCGTTTTCTTCTTTTTGCTTTCCCCCCTCCCTCGCCGCTATCTTCACCGCAGGCACGTCACTGCAATGACGATGCGTTTAACTTTTCAGCTATGAGGAACTGCAAATGAGCAAGATTCGATAGATAAGAAATCATCAAACTGTCTTGCAAGATGCTGTCATTTATGGAATCAAATTTTTCCAAAGTCGAAAAAGAATCATTGGAGAAGACCTTATGTAGGTATCTGCCAACGTCTAGGTTCCCCTTCTTCTTTTTGTCGATAACATCCTGTACATACGATTTGCACTGCTTTAACATAATTAATAATTTTTTTAACGACATTTCATTCATATCGTTTGGAAGGACACTATTTTTGTTGCTATGCATATGATGGCTGTCTTTGTCCTTGCCAGGTAAGCCTTTCTCTTGGTACTGCAACACCTCTGCTCTTTCAACATTGCTGGGGAGTAACTCCGTCTGTATTTCGTGAAAGTGGACAAAGTATTCCTTTACCAGCGTGATGGGTAGTTGTACGTAAGCCTTGATGTTAAGGAAGCCACTTTCTAGTGCCGCGTCCACTAGCAGGTGTATCGGCTCATTTAGGGGGGAATGTGGGTAGAACTTCGAAATGGAGTTGTGCTCTTTAAACCAGCCATGCACGGCGCAGGAAAGCTCAGATAACTCGGAACCGGAGCAGAACCAACCGACTACCTGATCTCTGGGGCGAATCTTCTGCTTCAGCTCATACATCGTTTCGTGGTGGTCCTTAATGATTTGGAGGAATCCCTGCGGGTAAGACGTGGGGGATATAGCGAGTGTTATCCATGGGGATGTACGATTTGCATGCCCATCGGGGTGCGGCGCAATGGGGTAGCCGACTAAGCAGACACTTCGCTCGAACATCACAGTTCATAACAAAAGGGGGGAAAAACAAAACGGGTCTGCTACCCCTGGGACGAGCCACGCGTAGCCTTACTCCTTCATTGAGCGAATGCTTATCGACGAAGCAATCCGAAATTTCGATGAGGTTCGCGTCGATGACGCACCCCATCAGAGTTCCAATGACATGTGTTTGGTCTTCATCTCTTCTCAGGTAGGCATCCAGAATTGTGAATATTACAGAGGGATGCACTATACACTTGATGCTCGTATGCGGCAGGATGTCGAAGTGCTGCGGCGTTTTGTCCTTCAAAAGGGAGCTCAGAGCTTTGAAGTTGTAGCGGTTGACGCTCATCTTGGGTAGGTGGAGTGCGCGTGCTTAACGAAATACGTAGAAGTGCGTAGGTACGTACTTATGTGTTTATTTTTCCTATTTTTTTCCCAAATTGGGTCCCTTAAAGCGCAGCGAGAACTCAGTTGAGGGGGAGGGGGAAGAAGCTCAAAGGGAATTAGCCCAATAAGTATATGTTCACGTTTGCCGTGTAAAGGTATATTACAGTTATCCCCTCGTAATTTTTGCAATTCTTTGCTTCATCTGGCGACGCCTGAACCGCTGCAACATGTATATGGGCTTAAATACATGCGTATAAATATAGCAGTAACGTTAACAAGCCTGGATGATCAGAAAGGAATGGTCTCATGCAGAGATTCATCTGTCAAATGGGAAGCGAGTGTTTCTCACTCTGCTGAATTAAAGCGTTGCCATGTTAAGATGTATTATTTACTCCCCTAAGGTGCTTTTCCGAAGTTACGAGTTGGAAGAAAATGTCGCAAGTATTATTTGTACTATTTTGCGGGGTGACTAAGCAACGCTATGTGGTTTTTCTTTCTTTTTTTTTTTTAAACTTCTCTCAATGTGGCTTGCACTTTTCTAGTAACAAGTCGGACTTTGGAAAACGGGTGACTCTGTTTGGCATGGTATATGTTCCCTTCGCCGCGTGAGAGCAATGCCGCTTTCCCGTTGCCCAATTAATATTTTGCCTATCCGTGCGTGTCATTTTACATATAATAATAATATCCATATCCCCCATTAACACCAGCGCATAAAACAAGTTAACCATTTTCTTTGTGACCAGACGATGAAGAAAAAGAAAAATAAAAAAGAGGCATGAGGTGAACTCCATATTAACGCTTTTTTACTCATCCACCTGTCGATTGATTATATATAAGAAGTGACGGGAAAGAAAAGAAAGGACCCCCTTGGGAATGGTATAAAAATGTATGCTGATCTCATCGCACGTCAGGGGGGAGTGGTAATAAAAAAGGAAAAAAAATAAATATTCCCCCCAAAATGGTGAATCCTATTTTCCCAAATGGGGGTGAAAAGCGAAACGGTAAATAACTTAACTGTCGTATCAGGAAGTTTAGAGAATTTTCCAGTCTGTCATTGCATGTGATCTTAAAATACAGCTAAACGATGATACTCAGGAAAGGAGAAGGGAGCCATGTGGAACCCCACCAGAGAGTATCATGTCCATGGAAAAAGGTGTATGCTTACCCCTGTATGTTCAACTTGTGTATGTTCCGCTTATAACGTTTCAAATTGATTTTGCCCAAAGGGATAAAAGGAAAAAAAAAAAAAAACACGTTTCACTGTTCACCGCAGGTATCATGACACAACCAGTGGGGTAGTATCTGCCACGGTGTAGTTCCTAGTCGCCCCAGGTAACATAGTAAAAGAGGTGGTGCGCCACATGGTGTGCTTTCTATAAAAGTAGGGGATTGACTTCACGTTTTAAATCACAGGTGTCTATCACAAGGGGGGAAACGCAGGGGCGAAACCTCGGGCACCGCCCCCGTCCCTATGAACTAACAGGGCATTTGGTGTAACTGCGCGAAGTATTCGTGGAAATGGGGTATGGGATGGCCAAGGAGAGTCAGGCCCACCCTGTGCTGAGGAAAATCACGTCAACGATGGCGAGCGCTAAGAGGTAGAGCGGCAATTTCCATGTGCCATTTTTGATGTTCCATTTTTTGGTCTGCCATTTCTCATGTGCCCTTTCTGATGCTCCATTTTCTGCGCGGCAGCTTTGCTGAGTCGTCACGCGCGGCGGGGTGCCCCTGTGCGCGCAAATTAAAAAAGTGGGAAGCTGCGAAGAGGGGGAGGGAACATTGGAAGAACTCCCCCCTGCCATTCAGTGTCTTTGTGCTGAGATGACAGCATGTGTATGTCCAACGTTGGAAAGTTCCTCCAGCTATCTACATCCACATGAACTGCAGTCCACCACGATGTGTGCTATATGATGGGGAAAAAA